GTCGTCGTCGTAGTAGTAGTAGTCAGTAGTTAGTAATTAGCAGTTAGCAGTTAGTAGTTAGTAGATAGTGGTTGTTACGAATGATCTTACCCTCACTATTACTGCAATTGCTGTTGTATAGATGTTGCTGTTTTTGTTATTTTCAACTGTTGTCATTGTGACTCATGCTATTTTCATTGCTATGATCTACGTTGTTATGCTCTGCTACGACTATGATGTTCATTACTCTTACCGTTAATATTCCGACTTCGCTCTTGGCGCGCCTTTTCTGCGGGGTTGTCTTTGCTCAGACTGTACATGGCATGCACTCCCGCGCTCCCGCTGTCTACCGCTCACAGACTGCTAGAAGCTGCTAGGGTTCGGGTGCCCGGATTTGGGCACCCGAATTATGTCGGCTTGTGGTTATCATCATCTTCTTGCCCTTCGGAAACCTTAAACCCCCAAAGCCCATTCATCGCAATCCCACAGAGCCCAAACCTCGCTGACCCGCAAACCTTCGGTTTGGCCGGTTTGAGGTGTTGGCAACTCTTGCACGGTGTCACGCCCTAAACCCCAAACCCACAGACCCTGACTTGAATGCGCCTCAGGTTGGGTCCACCACCCCGCTGTGCATCTTGGTCAGCATCCACCTGGCACCAGTGTGGACCTAGGGAATCTGGGGAAACCCACTCACATTTCTCCCGAAATACGGCTGATGAAATAAATCCTGCATTACCTTAAGGACCTAAACTATAGGGAATTATGGGGTATCTTCCTTATTATGGGGTAATGCAGGATGTATATCATCAACCCTACCTCAGTTCGTTTTGAGCCACGCCGAACCTTGCAGGCTCTCAACCCTAAGCCGCAAGATCACACCCAAAAGCTTCGACCCTCTGAATTTTAGGGTTTAGGGTTTAGGGTTGAGGGTTTAGGGTTTAGGGTTTAGGGTATCCGAACGACCCTAAAAAAAGGAACTCTCATTTAAGGCAACTATCCTGCAGCGTCGTCCCCCCCAAAAAAACAACCCTAAACACCAAGCCCCCTTGCACCCCGAAGCCTAAACCTCTTGATAAACAACATCGGGAAGATGGGGTTAAAGTGTCGGCAAGGCTTGTATGTACACATGGTGTACCTAATTTTATGAGATATGTGCGTGTGTATATATATATATGCATATGCACATATACATACACACAAACACATATACACATATACATATATACGGACGATGCATGTGTGTGACGTTAGGGATGGGACGGTCCCAGCAAAGCATGAAGCAAGTGAATGCCTAAAAGAACACTACTTGCAGAATGTCCAAGCTTCTCTAACTTCTGTGCGACATCACACGGATGTTTTGCAAAGCGGCTCCAATGTGTAGCAAGAGTGAAAAATCGCCTCCGTCGATCGATAGCTTCAGCCTCAACCTGACAATTGTAAAAAAAAATCGCCTCCAAAATTCAAAACAAGAGGTCTCTGACAAGCCCAAGGGTCCAAAGTACTCCAGCATCCTCTACTCTCCCAACTACATACTAGAATTTAGGCTGCGTTGCTGCAACCTTTAAGCAAAGTTCCCCATCATCCGACCCTAAGCCCGAAACCCCTTCGGACAATTGGGCTTAAAACGACACCGGAACCCCAGGTGGCCCTTCCAAAAAGGAAGCCTGTTGGGGGTCCGGCGGGTGTCTTGAATTGAAGGAGCCGCAGAAAAGAGAGAGTAGGGTGAAGGTTTGATGGCTTTCAGTCTTAGGCTTGAAGGCTTGGGTATTAGACTTCCCGGCTTTACCGAAGAGGCTTCTCATTTCGGCGTGGGATGCTGAGGTCCCATGAGCTCCCTGATATACTCTTCCTCAATGATCGGTGCTCTGTACAGCTTGAAATCGTACATGTCACCGCCCGCGCGCGCCGCGGAGCTCATGAGGTGAAGGTGGCTGAAAAGAGACCAGTCGTAGTCGGTGCATGTCTTGACCAGCTTGCCATCCTTGAAAAGGTATGCTGTCTTCCTGGCTTCGAGTCAAACCAATGCTTGCTTTGCTGACTGCCCGAAACTTCTATTCGAGAGATCACGATGCCAAGGAATAAACGCCCTGCCTTAACCCAGACTGCGACACAACTTTCCCACCCAAACAAAAGTCTTCTCGACGCAAATGAGCATCTTGAAATCATCGAAGGCAAAGGCCACATGAACCCACGACCCTTCTGGGGCATCCAAATCGCCACCCTCACAACGACGTATCCCCATGTTGAGGTAGATGCCGTGACCTTGACCTTTACACAAGTAGCTTCGCCAGGCATTGAACTTCAAAAGGCTTTGCCATGGAGATTTACTTTTTGGTTCATAAAAGTGACGGTTCGGCATGTTGAGCTTCTGAGATTCGGTGCTCAAGCCCCTAAACCCTAAACCTCGAACCCCCCAACCTGGTTGTAGGCTGCCGCCAATCTCACTCTTGGATTCAGTCGCGCGCGACTCCTCGTTCCAGGTGAAGATTGGATGCTCTCCCGACAACTTCCTCGGGGGTCAGATCGGGGGCCTCTGTCTTTCAACAGGCAAATATGGGAGTTTCCGAAAATAAGGGGACCCTATTTTGGGGGTCCTGAAAAGAAGGATCCAACTATTTAGGGTACTATATTAGGGTCCCCTATTTTCGGAAACACCCCTTTGGGGCGGGATTTTCCTACCCCTTCATATCCGCAAAGCAAGCAAGTTTAAGGTCTCCAAGGGGTCTAGGGTAGAAGGCATCCCTGAACAAGGCAAGACCAGGGTTTAGGGTTTAGGGTTTAGGGTTTAATTAACACTCAAACTAAGTGGAGGATGCCATCTTACTCTAATCTGGGAACTGCAATATTGTGGAGACTGTACTCTCCCACATTAGAGAGCGAGACAGTCTCCCTATTCAGAATATCACTGACCCCGAAACTCCGAAAATATGCTCAAATCCTCCCCAAACCCCGAAACCCTGGTTTCATTTGCTAGCAAGCGTCGATTTGACGTGCACCCATGCCATGGCCGTGACGGAGACGAGATAGAGGCCGGGCGGCATTCCCCTCTGCCCGAAGTCCTGGATCTCCTTCCTTTTGACTGGGGCGGCTTTAAGGGTGTAGGGTTTAGGGTGTAGGGGTTTAGGGTTTAGGGTTTCGGGGTTAGGCTTTAGGGTTCTCAAGGTCTAGGGCTCAGGGTTCAGGGCGTATGGGATGAAGGGTCTATCGGTTTAAGGGTTTAGGGCTTACGGGTTTAGGGGCCAAGGCTGTCCGGCTAAAGGATCAAAGCTTAAGGGCAAAGGTTCAGACTGTCGTGTTCAGGGTTGGTGCTTTAAGTATTCTGAAAACGGACTATTCATGCATGAGGTCTTGAGGATCTTTACAGAGATTGGTATCCAATGGTATTCGGAGAATACCCGATTTGGCACCCGATAATACACATGCCAAGACAAGCCCCAAATACATCAATGAGCAAAAACGGTCAAACTACCCCCCCTATACCCTGAACCCTTGACCCAAAGTAAAGACCGGCTTCTTGTCGTAGGACAAGAACTCGACTGCACGATCTGGATGAGGCGCATAGCGCATCTCAGCAATGATCTCCTGCGGCATGTTGGGAGTTCGGCGCTTCCACAAGGCATAAAGGCTTTAAGTTTAGGGTTGTGGGTTTAGGGGTTGCATTGCCACTCCGTAACTCTACCAGGTCAGTAGTGTGGGACATAACAGCTCTTCACGAGCAACATCATCTGAGCATTCCGCCTATGCAAGCCCCTGTACTCTCCCGTACCAATCAGGAAGCCAAAGGGCGCGTAAAGAGGCTGCGGTCTTTCGACAAGGGCCTGCTCCGCCCGCCCTGCTCGTTTAACGGGGGCCTAATTACAGAAACTGATCACGGAGGCCTTAACTTTGCGTACGCTGCCTGGAATGTCGGATGGAGATACCTGAAGATGGCTCTGACTCGAACTGGGATCATGAGGGCATGGCATGTGCCACCATTCGGCACAGCTCCCTACCCCAATGCCAAACCTTTGGCCCCGCTAAGAGTCTTACATCCCCGAACATCTAAACAACTTCTGCCGATAAACCTTCAGCACCTGGATGACCCGGAAGCACCCGGTGTGCGACCGGTTTCCTAAATTCAAGGATGATTCAAGGGCCCTTTGTGGCATCCTCCGCTTACAGCATTTGGATGTTGTAGTGCGCTTTCACTATGATTCTCTTCGGGCTCTCCTCCTGAGATTTGAACTCATCCTTGAAGATTTTGACGTCGTAGACATCACCTGGGAGCTGCATATGCCAAAGCTCGGGCTCTTTTACGCATCTGCGACCCTCTGGAAATCCACAAGTGGTACCATAATTTTAGGGCACCAAAAAAGCACACAAGCAAAAGTTCAGATAAGGACATCCCTTATAAACCACCTTTATAATAATGACTCGCGCTCACCATTGGCCGCTTTCGCTGCTGTAACGACGAAAAAGTCGTCCATGTCGTCGGCTGGAAAGACATTGCTGCATGATTTGATGAGTTTTCCTTCTCTGTACCTTGGTTGTGCCCAGAGGCTCCAACACGCATCAGAAGGTATACCTTAAATCATACATGTGTTCCCAGTCTAATTCGACGGGTATACCTGGCATGCAGGGATTATGGAGTCTCTACAAGTAAGGTTTGGACTGTATAAGCCGTGGGTTCACAGAGCCATTCTTCATGGCTTTTCAGACATCACAAGTAACCCAAAGTAAACACAATTGACAAAATGCTCCAGGCACATGAGTACTTTGCCAGTAACTGGGTTGACAGCAAATGCCTGATGTACCCACATACCTTTCCATGAGTGGTAGTAGCTTGCGTGTGAGCATCCACGGCACATGCTGTTCCCGAAGTAGGCAAAACTGCCATAGCCTGGCTTTGGGAGCTCTTGAACCCAGAATGTCTCCCGGTCTATGCGGAATGTATATCAGCATCAACAGAACAGCGTGACGCCCTCAACTTAGAACTCCATAATCCGTTAACCAAACACCCACAAATCTATAGATCCCTGTGGTTATTCTCGAAGCCACTGTAGAACCTCTTAAACGAACCCGTATGATAAACCCGAAAGACCCCAAGCGGCCCTGCATGAAGCCGATGCCGGTGCCCGATCTGCCATTCTCGCGATTGCTGATCGTCAAAATCCTTGCATGTCGCTAGGCTCAGGGACTCAGAGCCTCTGGACATACCTCAAAGCCTTATGGTCAAACCCTTCGTTAAAGTACATTCCATACTTGCTTGGGTGTCCCAGTTTAGGGGTCCTTCCTCTTTTGATAGAAGTCCATGTTAGGGCCACTCATTTTCTGACAGTCCCATACAGGATGCAGGCTGTAGAGTTCAGCATCTATGGCCAGGTACGTATTGAAAGGACGCATCCCTGAACTCATCCCCACGACAGCACGTACGTAACCCGGAGGTTTTGGGCTTTGTTTAAGAAAGGTTTAGGGTTCAGGGTGTGGGGGTATGGCTGTAGGGTCTACGTTGATTTAGAGAGAGAGAGAGAGAAAGAGAGAGAGAGACGGAAAGAGAGAGAGATAGAGCGAGAAAGCGAGAGAGAGA